CCCCTAAAGTGGAATAATTTAAAAGATTCCCACATTGGAACAGACACAGATTTAACATGAAATGGACTGCAAAGTATGCATGACACTTAGCTCAGGTTTTTACAGCCAGTAGCTTGCTCTGGAGTGAACAGTCCTCACTTGATGGGCAGCACCTTCAGGGCCCAGCAGGGGGCATACTGCCTCCATGGCACATTTTCCTCCTTGATTTGCTCCTCAAGCCTCTGCTGTGAGGTTATTGGGGGCAGGAAGACAGTCATCACCCCATCTTGCCTGTCTGTCTCACAGGTGCTGGGGGCCAGGCATCTGCCAAAGAATGGCCGGGGTATTGTATGTCCTTTCGTGGAGATTGAGGTGGCTGGGGCAGAGTATGACAGCACCAAGCAAAAGACAGAGTTTGTAGGTAAGTCAGTCTTCCCCCATTACCAGTCATTCTGGGGTGTTGAAGACCTCTCTCCACCAGGCACCACATCCACTTGATGTGGCCTCAGCTCTTGCCCTTGCTTTCACAGTGGACAACGGACTGAACCCTGTGTGGCCTGCTAAGCCCTTCCACTTCCAGATCAGTAACCCAGAGTTTGCCTTTCTGCGCTTTGTGGTGTATGAGGAAGACATGTTTAGTGACCAGAACTTCTTGGCTCAGGCTACTTTCCCAGTAAAAGGCCTGAAGACAGGTGAGGAATCTTCCTTAATGTAAAGTCAAGGTGGGGCTTCCCACTTGGTTGACAGCTGTCAGGCTGAGAGCCATGCATTTCTCCTAGGATACAGAGCAGTGCCTTTGAAGAACAACTACAGTGAAGACCTGGAGTTGGCTTCCCTGCTCATCAAGATTGAAATTTACCCTGCTAAGGTAACTACAGCAGAGTGAGCAGAGAGCTCAGTCATAGCCCCTGAGATGCAGAAGAGACCTCAACTTTTGTGCACTTCCCTTGCTGAGCAGGAGAATGGTGACCTCAGTCCTTTCAGTGGTACATCCCTAAGGGAACGGGCCTCAGATGCCTCCAGCCAATTATTCCATGTCCGGGCCCGGGAAGGGTCCTTTGAAGCCAGATACCAGCAGCCATTTGAAGACTTCCGCATCTCGCAGGAACATCTCACAGACCATTTCGACAGTCGGGAACGAAGGTGAGGGAGATGAAGGGCAAGTTGGCCAGTGTGGGACCTTGGAGGAAGGGTGCTGGAGCCAGAAAGAATAGCAATCTTTTGGCAGCTTTCTCCTATGTGGAAAAGCGATAACTGTGTGTCTTTGGGTTGTCCTGTCTGGCTGCAAGGCCAGTAAGGACACTTCACTTCTGTTCAGGGCCCCAAGAAGGACTCGGGTCAATGGAGACAGCCGCCTCTAGACATGCCCCCACCTTGCTGGAGAGCAGCAGGTGCTGCCTACCTATGGAATGCCATGAACTGGGTTCTCTGGGAGCTGTCTACTGTAAAGCCTTCCTGGTCTCACAGCCTGGAGCCTGGATTCCAGCAGTGAAGGCTAGACAAAACCAAGCCATTAATGAGATGTATTGTTTTGGGCCTCCATGCCCAGCTCTGGGTGAAGGCAAAAACTACTGTGTCTCGTATTAAGCACACACATCTGGCCCTGAATGTGGAGGTGGGTCCTTGCATCTTGGGCCAGGACTAGGGCTGAAGCCCCTTGGAAAGAGAAGTTGCCTCAGTTGGTGGCATAGGAGGCTTCGAGGAGCTGCTGACATATTCCTGAAAGAGGAAGAGGAGGAAGAGCCTTGCTGGGCCAGGGAAACAAAGTTTACATTGTCCTGTAGCTTTAAAACCACAGCTGGTCAGGGGGAAAGAGTAGAGGCCCTGCAGTTTGGCCCTGGAGCCAGGACAGAGGAATGCAGGGCCTGTAAGGAGAAGGCTCTGCTCTGCCCAAGGAGGAAGACACAGCACAAGGGCACATTGCCCATGGCTGGGTACACTACCCAGCCTGAAAGATACAGGGGATCATGAAAAAAAAAAAAAGCAGTATTATTTCTTTTCTTCTCAGTGGTATTGTAACTAAGTTATGCTGTCCTGTTCCTTACCCTGGAAGGGAAGACCCAGCACAGAGCCTTTGGGAACAGCACCTCTCTATGGGGTGTTGTACTGGGAGGGCCCTGTCAAGAAGGGTAGAGGGGCAGGAAGAGAGAAGAGCAATGTCTACCCTGGTGAGCTTTCCCTTAGGAATGGAGACATAGGTAAGTGGAGTCAGGCAATAGGTACCAAATGAAGCTGCTGCTTGGTGCAGTTTCTGTGTAGTTGGTAAAAAGATGCAAAGGAGATGGGAAGGTTGCAAAGGTAAGCCTCACCTCTGAGAACAGAGGCTGGGGTTCAGGCCTGTGGGTGCAAAGGTGCCTCAGCATAGCCAGCATTCAGCACACGCAAACCCACTGCCCACATATGGGCTCAGGGTTGGCCATTTGCTAGTTCTGCTGCCCTCTTAAGATCTGACTGCCAAATAAATCATCCTCATGTCCTTTTTCTTTTAACTTGTTTGTTTCTTGGGGGCTCAGGAGAACATGGTGAGTGAAAATAGAAACAAGTGTGGAGACTTGGGAAGTCACACAGCTCTTCCTTGTGGTGCTAAGATGTGAGGCCACCTCTGCCACCTCATCTAACGGTATTGCTAAAGTCTACCCCACCAAGGAGTAAGCTCGGTCTCCATTACACAGAAACCTACTTCAAAAAGGTAGCATTTGGTTATGTGCTGCCAGGTGCTACTCTGTTTGCCTCTCCAACTGCCAATCAGAACCTCTGTGCCTACCATGCTGAGGAAGGCCTATTCCTTCCTGAGGCTTTCCTGTAGCACTTTGCTGGAGCAGGACAAAAACCATGCCACAGTGAAGCATTGTGTACCATGTGCTGTACTAGCTGGCTCAAGTCACACAGCAGTTAAGTACGTGAGTGATGGCTGGGTCTGTAGCTTTCATCTAAAGCAGTGGATTTCAACCTGTGTGTTGCAACCCCTTTGGGGTCCAGTATCAGATATCCTACATTTCAGATATTTATGATTTATAACAGAAAAGTTAGTTATAAAAGTAGCAATGAAATAATTTTATGGGTGGGGTTCAGTACAACAGGAGAGACCATATTAAAGAGCCACAGCATTAGAAAGGTTGAGAACTACTGATCTAAAGTTTTCCTGTCCCATCACAGACAGAGGGGAGGGATCCTTCCACACACAGGAAATGGTAGGTGGGATGTATCAAATCCTCAGAAGCTCAGAGTTCATACTTGTGGCCCAGGAGAAGGTAGAAGCCATATTTTCTAGTACTCAGTACTGCTGTATGACAGCTTGGCTTGGTACTGAGCACTTTAATTTTCTCTAGATACTTCCATTTCCTGAGCATGTCTTCCAGAGGCTCAGCTCTGCCTTCTGAGCAGCTTCACAGTGGAACCATGACTCACATGTCTTGTCCCCTTACCATGTTTCCTTTCAGGTTGTATTTTCTTCTCAGTGGAGGAGATTTAAGGATCAGTTTCATCACTTAAATCCCCCAAGTGAACCTGACTACTGTTAAGTGATCCAGAAGACCCATCTTGGCACCTCGTGGCTGTCTTCCCTGATGCATCCAGTGTGTCCCTACATGTAACAGTTTGGTTAACATTGCTTTCCATCCATTAGGTTATGACCTGTAGAATCTCAGCCAAGCATCGTTTAAACACACCCTCAGATACATCTGAGAAATACTGCTATCGGGGCCTTGCTCCCTGGAGCATGAAAATGAAGTCAGGTTTCGAACCATTGGCTTTGGCAGAAATCTAAAAGAATGGGGTTGGAAGGGAAGGCAGTGATACCAGGAACACAAGCCAAAAGAAATCTCCTTTGGCTAGCAGGCTAGGGACAAGTAAAGAGGGATCACTAAATGCTATCAGTGAAAACACTTAACAAAAGAGCATTGCCTATAACTTCCAGGACATTCTGCCTCTTGCCATAGGACTGAAACCCACAGTTAAAAGGCAGAAACAATTTGTGGCCTTTACTAAGAAAAATCACAGGTAGCCGCCCTTAACAAAAAGAGCTGAGGCCTTACTTTGGGCCAGACTCACCCTGAACTTCAGGGTGAGTTTAGTCCCAGCTGAGGACTGGGACTAAACAACCACTTGTCTTTCAACTTACTACCTCTGACCATATCAGATCTACTGAAGGGTGCTGAGTGAGTGCGAGGTTACCCCACCAAACCAACTTAATGACAAAAAAAAAACAAGCCCAGACCTGCCTTACATTTTAGTTAAATGCCTCTTTCCTTTAGAGGCTTCCCCTACCTAGGACATAAATCCTCAGAGGATTTACATCCATATGTCATCCTGTCATACTGGGAAGACTCTATGGCTCCCTGCAGGCTAATGCACCCACTGTGTTCTGAACCTGCCCACCAAGGACTCAAGAGATGGTTCCATGGTAGATACATAGTCCTATGACCTGGCTCTTAAGATTCAACACACAACTACTTTAGGACCTGAGCTGGCCTTGGGAAAGACCGGATCAAGAGCAGACCATGATGCTGTTGAACTGCTACCCCTTCACTCTGAAGTGGCTTTATTTTGGGAGTCCCCTTTTCTTTATGGCCAGTGAGACCGTGCCAACAACAAGCAGTTGCTATGAGGCTTGGAGGTGTAGGGTTGACCCTGGTCCTCTAGTAGGCTCCTGGGTCCTTCTGCACAGTGACAGACCCTCCTTAGCAGCATGTTTTACTGACAACTCTTCTCTCACCAGAAAAAGAAAGGAACACAGGAAAACTTGCCCATATCCTCACACCCCATAGTTCATGGCTCTAAGATCAGACTTGCTTTACTCAGCACAGTTTTGCATGGAAGCCATCACAGTGAGTTCAGGAATGCAAGAGAAAGAATTCCAAGAACTGGAAGCTCTTCCTGGGAAGCTGAGGGAAAACCCCAGCACCTATTACTCTTAAGGGTCAGATTTGCCCCCCTGCCCCTAAAAAATCAATAGAAGGGATTTTAGATTTTTGTTTATTCTCTTCCCCCCCCCCCACACACACACACATAAAGTCAGCAGATAAGAAGTGTCTGTACATTTTTATTTAGGAACAGTTAAAAGATTGGAAGTACCACTGAGGCCCATTCAAACTACACAAGCAGTTTTGTCCCTCATCCCATCCCTTATCCAAATTTGCAGATACAAAATCTAGGAAATGTGCAATTTGCATCTTGGAAATAGCAGCATCCCCATGGGGGACCTTAAGAGGCCCGGAGACTCAGCCCGAAGAGGTCATCTTCCCACCTCCCACCACACACAGCCCACACCAAAAGCAAAGGCTGTCTTTCTAGTCAAATGTTTCCCAGGGTGAAGGATCCCTACACTCCAGCCAGGTGTGGCCCATGCCTGTAATTCAGTGCTTGGGAGGTAGAGGCAGGAAGAGCACCCAAGTCTGAGGCCAGTCTGGTCTACAAAATGAGTAGAGCAGGCTGGTGGGAGGCCAGCCAGGACCACACAGGAAATATTCTCTCCAAAGGTCTAAGTGACAGAATATGCTGTTTCTTAGTTTGCTTTCACAGCTGGCCGAAGTAGCAGGTGACTCTTCACTTAGCACCAGGATAGTCGCTTCAGCTGTTCCTGGGAGACAGGAAGCATACCAAAGGCAGACTGTTCAAATCACCCCCAGTTGTACTTCTCAGCAGTCGAGCCCCCTGAGAACAAAGCCATCCACACTGAGATCAGAACACAAAGCAGGTGCAGGGGACCAGGAACCAAGACATTGTCAGCAAGGACACTGCAGGTCTTTGGCTGCTTCCCCAATTTCCCCAAGGGCTATGTCAGGACAACTCAAAGAACAATAGTCAGCAGGGGCCAGAAAAAGGTTGGCTCATTTTCTCTGTTTAATAACAATTATGACACAGTCTGACCTTCCTGGCAAGGCTGAACAAAGCCAGCTACTCAGAAGCATGGGAGAGAGACCAGTGCCCTGAGTGACCACTCCTGCCCTTGGCCCACCCAATTTCACAGAGCACCCTAACTCTGCTGGAACCCTGCTGAGGAGTGGGTGTTAGCTATCACTGCAGCCAGCCTTCTCACATGGGCTACAAGAACAAGACCAAACTCTGTGGACAGGAGCTAGGGACAAGATCTTTCTTAAGCACAAACTGCAGGTTAGCAGGGACCACATAATAGACTTTCACCCACTGGACATGTCTCTTCTGGGACTTGCTTGGGAAAGAACAGAGCACTGGCAGCCCGTTTTATATTCAGTATCTGAGCAGGCTTTATCCTAGGCATTTTACCTTCAACTCGAGTTCTGAATAATTCTGAATCACCCACTTTCCATGGAAGGGAACACATGTCAAAAGGCATAGATCAAGAAAAGCTATTAACATACAGGTGCCCATCTGTGGGTACAGTACGCTAGTCTCTTGACAAAAGAGGCACTGATGGCAGGTAAATGTGCAGGCCCCTCTCAGGTGTTCTGACTTGCCATCTGCCCACCCTTGTAAACAGCAGGAAAACACCATGTAGCAAACAGTCCCTGCGAAATAGCTGTTTTCCCTCTGTTCTGCCTGGTTCCTGCCAGAGTAGCAGCAAGATCTGTCTCAAGGAGGGCAGAGATGACAGGGTAGTAACTACACTGAATCCATTCAGTCCTGCATCCTTAAGAGACTGAAAAACCAAGAAAGCAGGTGCTTTCTTCTTCCTTGTACCAACCAGAGTCTGCCTTAGTCTGTAGCCCAAGTGTACTCTCTGGATTTACATCCCTGTTCCAGACTTTAGGGGGCTGGGAAGAGGTGTTCCTGCTAGACTCTGAAAACTCTGTATTGGTTTTCCAGTCTGGGGGACCAAGTTCATAGGATTGCTGGCTAGTGTTAACAAGCACTCAGAAAGCCCCCAAAGCAGGCTCTCAGTCCTAGGACCCTTTCACCCTCTGAGCTGCTTTCACTCCACAACTTTCACTCCACAACTAAGTACAGGTTCTGGACTCTGAGTACATTTGGGCTTGCCACTACCTAGTGGCCAGGAACTAGGGAACACAGACTCCAGCAGAAATAGACTCTGAGGACTCCGTTCCTTTTGGATTTCTAGCTAGTAAGCTAAGTAGCGATGTATACAGCAGGCAGTATGATGGTCAGTTCTGTCATTACTCAGTCTAAACTAAACCCAGCCATTCCACTGAAGATCCCTCAAGAGCCTAATTAGCCCTGGAGTATAGAGCTCAGTAACCTACCTGCACCACTGAACCAAGGCAGGAGAAACTGCTGTGTAGATAATTAAGGTTGAAGTCTTGGAATACCTGTGCTTAGAAAGGCCTGTGGGCTCCAGTGCTGTAACACATGGAAATCACCTCATAAAGGTCTGGGCAGGATGGTGGTGAACAATGTGCAGTTAAGGAAGAAGACAAATCTAAATTAGGGATGCTAAAGAGAAAGGTTCAGTCTGGTATAAGAAAAACTAGGCAGCATGCCAAACTTTGGCCAGGATGAACTGACCAAAGACCTTTATCTATCTAGAAAACTACTACAGAAAACTGAGTCTTGCAGATGAATGTGATATAAGTTCATCTGCACAGTGGCTTTAGTAAAAACACAAATTCTAAGTTTTGTTTTAGGATTTTCTTGGCTGGTTTCCCAGAAAGTGCCTTTATACACTTGTGCTGTGACAGTGGAACTGACTGAGCTGCTCCAATCTGAGGAGTTTGGTCCATGTAGAGACTAGGAAGACAAAGGCAAAGTCTCAAGACTGGGACAGCTCAGCACTCACCTAGAGGACAGTGAGTCTCCAACCAGAAAGGTTGCTCCCCCACCCCTGCCCTCCACACGAGCGACTGTGTGACAAATGTCCTAGGACCAGCAGGGAGGAAGGGACACAGATGTGACATAGCTACTGATAGAACAAGTAAAATCTCTGAGAGCCATCTGGATCTGGAGAGTACAGCTGAGCTTCCTGGTAGCACATACCCAAGGCCAGCTGGGGACAGACTGGAGGACTCAGGTAGCCACCTACCAGGTCCCACCCACCTCCCCTTGTGCTTCCAGAGGGAAGGGTGCCCTCAGGCTAAAGTATTTTTTTCACCTGGTACCCAGCCAAGAGAAAAGTGCAAGGACAGTCACTAGTAGACCTCAAAGTCATCTAGGGAAAGGACTCCCAACACTAAATACACCCAACTCCCAAAAGAAAAATCTCTGATCAAAAAATTACAAAGAATATGCAAAGCTTATGTATAAGTTTAGGTTTCAGTTAGAATTGGTTCTGGTTTATAACTGAACTGACAAACATATGTGAGTAGAAAAAAATCAACATACAAGACCAACAACAAAGAACACTTAGAATGTCCTGCCTCTGGTAAGTCCAAGTGAGTGCAGAGGATAGGACAAGTCTCACCGTCTCACAAAGCACACCTGTTAGGAGAAGCACATTCCACTCTACCTTAGCAGCCCACAGCCAGCCTTCTACTGAAGGCACATTGAGCATCTTGAGCCTCCAACTGTACAAGGCCACTGTGATATCACATAGTAACTATAGGCCTGGTAGCTGCCAATCTATACCTCAACTCCTCTGTCAGGGCACTCATGCTTGGTATCCAAAGCCCTTCCCTGAAGTGCCTAGTCCATGACCACCTCCCTCACCATTACCTATCAAACAAGGTCCAAGCCACAATTTCCCTCCCCCCATCCAAGAGCAAAGGAAGCAAGGTCCATTTAGTCTAATGCATTTCTTACCTGGACAATCTTGCCATTACCAGCTCTGAGAAAGGTGTGCTAGGGCCAGTGTTACTGCAACTTCCCATCCAGAAGATTACTTAGTGCCGGAGACCAGGCTGCTCTCTGTGTCCTGTGTAATGTCCACCAAGTAACTTAATATTTCTGTTCCGTGTAAATTGTTCAGACGTTTTTTATAGAGTCTACCATTCAGCTAGTGCAGCAGGGCTCTGGAGGTGAAGCCCAGCAGGCATCCGGGCTCAGGTGAGACACAGATGCTTTCTTAGACAGGAGATGGCTTCCTCTGCTGCTCCAGCTGCCCAGTATACTGTTATCTCTTCACTCACAGACTACTTCCCCCTAGGGCATCCACATGAAGCTCAAATGTACATCAGATGTACATTGTTATGGTATTAAAGTATCAAATAAGTATGTGTCCTGTATATATGGATATGTAAATCTGCACATACACAAACACTAAAGGAAAACTTTCAGGCATCTGTTCTCTGAAGGAAAACAATCACTCACCATTCATTCTTTCCAATTCCTCAAGGTTTGGGGTCAAATAGCTTCCCTCCCCAAACAGAAAGGATACAAAAATAGGCTGCAAAACTTGCCAAGTAGTCAAAAAAACCAAAACAATCAAAAATCCCCAATCAAATGTGAGGCCATCCCTATGGGAACAGGATGAACAGGACAAACATAATGGTTCCAGGGCCCTGGGTTACAAAGAAAGCCCTCTTTCCTAAAAGGCTGAGGGCTGCCATGTTCATCCTCAGACTACTCCCCTCCCGTGGGAAGGGGAGGAAGGAGAACACCTAGAAGTTGACTACTACTTCTTGGTCAAAGCTCTTGCCCTCCTGTGGGTCTCCTGATGGAGTCTCCCAGAGGTAAGTGGGGCCATGGATGACACATCTTGTTTGTCATCTTTCCCTCCCCTGCCCTGCTTTGTCTACTGTTCTCAGGGAAGCCAGCCTAGGAGAGATGGGGGCTTTAATGTTTAAAACAGCTCCCTAAGCAAGTTTTCAATTGTTTCAAAGGCACCATTTCTTGTGATTTTAATTAAAAAGACATGAGGCTTAGGCAAAAGTAGATAGAGAATTTGTTTCTCAGGTTGGGAATATAAATGTGGAACTTTAAAAACACCCTCACAGGAATCTGTCCAGTGATGTCCAGCACCTCTGGATCATGAAACCAGTACCTAACCAGGGCCTTTGGTGTGAGACAAAGGCATTTTGCCAGGAACTCTCACCTGCAGATCTTTGTGTTCAAGACCACTCTATCTCTAGTCACTTCAAATCTCCCAAGCCCTTCAGCCTCATTCTTCCTCCCAGCCACCATGAACTTCCTTCTGACCTGCAGGAGGCATTGAGAACTGTGGTGGCCAAAGCCACAGCAATTGGCTCTACTTTGACCACTTTCCTTTTGTTCTAAAGGAGTCTGAAGAGCTGAAGGGAACATACAGGTCAGTAGATTGGGCTTTACAACAATGATTTCTTTAGTTGATCTGATAATGGAGAAGTTGGTCCATGATTCAAACTCCACAAAAAAGCAGAATTACAGTTAACTAAAGAGAGTGGTTAGCATCCAATGGTAATGTCATAGCTTGGTTGTGTTCAGAACTGAGGGTAACAGTGGGCTCTGTGTCAATCAGAACACAAGACAAGCCTGGCACAAACTATAGTGTGCCTCCACTCAATGATGCAGAGATCTCTTCCAACAGTCGGTTCCCTTAAGAAGACAAGTAGGGCCAGGCCTGGTGCAGTTCTGAGCATGCCTGTGACTCCTGTTGCTGCAGAGGATGAGGATCCCTGTGGTCTCAGCTTCCCAGAGAACAGACATGGCATTGTCAGAGCTGTACTGCTTTGGTAACCCGAGATCCTAATGTATTGAAAATGTCTGTTGTAGGATGCTTTATTAAATGTATATAGGCAACTGTATATGCTAACAACTTGATTCTGGGTCTAGGTATATGCAATCTGAACTGCTTTGTCCCTGGGAGGCCAAGGAATGGTCCTGCATTGTGGGAGGATGGGCTGATGAGAAACCATTGCTACTTGCTTAGAAGTGTCAGGTGGAGAATGGTTGGGGTGGCGGCAGGTTCTGGGCTCAGCAAGGCTCCAGAGGCTTTCCTGGTGCCTGGCAGCTGGCCATCAAGATGATATGTGGCAGGTTTGGCCCTTCCATGTGGCAGACAGCATCCCAGGCTGGCCGGTCCTTCACAGTAATCAGATCAAATTCACTCTGTTTCTGAGGAGAAAACACATACCTGTCACTCCATGGCAGCTACAACGTGTACAGTCCCCAGGGATTCCCAGTCCTCACTATCCTGGGCTGGTATCATTGGAGCTGGAGACTCCTTAATTCCACAAGGAATGCCATGCCACTGTCCCCTCCAGTCTGAGGGGAGGTGAAAGAGCAGAGTGTGGGTTAAGGACAGGATGCTGGCTCAACTGGACAAGACCTTCAGATTTCTTGGCTTCCTGTTACTTGCCTAGCCCAACATCCTGGTCTCTGACCACTGATGCTTGTTAACCCTGTGCTCTAATAGTCTGGAGCCCTGAGCTCTGACATCTCGTATATACCTTGCAGGTTGGAGGTCAAGGTCAAGGCAGCTGATCACTCTTATCCCATGTATATAGACAGGGATAGCCTTTCCACTGAAGCTGGCTGAAGAGCATGAAAAGCCATGGTACAGATAACAGACAAGCTTTGGAGGCCAAGCTACCACTAGAGTTTGGCCACTCTTGCTACTCTACTCTGTTCTGCTATGCCTGTTACACCCACTCATCTCCTCTCCAGTTTAAAAAAACATTATGGTACAATACATGTAACATAAAATTTCTCATCACAGCCATACTAAGCATGTCTCAGTAGTATTATGTACATTTTTGTTATGAACCAACACCCTAAATAGAAGTTCTGTGTCCATTATATAACTGCCAATTCTGTCAGAAGTACCCTACATTCTACCTTCAATCTCTATAAGTTTGTCTAGACTTCATAAAAGTAGAATCATACAATATTTGTCTTTTGTGACTAGCTTATTTAACTTGGCATAATGTGTTCAAGTCCTATCCATGTACCATGTATCAGAATTCTATTCCTTTTTATAATTGAATATTCCATTTTATATGTATATAGGTGTATCTATATCTGTGCGTATATGTATGTGTGTCCATTTATCCACATTTATCCATTCCTGTGTTGTTAATGGATACAAGTTGTTTCCTTCTTTTGGGACTTGTGAATTCTACTGCTTTGAACAGTCACACAATGGCAGTTCAGGCCCTCTTTTCAGTGCTAGGAGTGAGACTTAGGGATTGGATGAGAAGCCTTTGTTCGGGAGCTGGTTTTCCCCACCTCCTCAGCAATGCCTCTGGCTGTGTACATGTTAACAATAGCTGATTTGAGCTGGAATCTCATTGTAGACCCTCATTGTTTCATATGCATTTCCCTAAAAACAAAAGATCTTAATCATCTTAAAATTTTCTTTATCTTTAAAAAAAAGTAATTTTTATGTCTATGGATGTTTTGCCTGCATGTATGTCTGTGTATTACATGTGGTGCTTGGTCCCCATGAAGGCCAGAAGAAAGCATTAAATCTCCTGGGACTGGAGTTAGAAATGGTTGTGAGCTGTCATGTGGTCACTGGAAACTAAAGCCAGATCCTCTATGGGAGCAGCCAGTACTTTCAACTGCTGAGCCATCTCTCCAGACCAAGATGTTGGTTATCTTTTCATGAGCTTTTACCTCTTTGTTAGCTCTCTCCTTCTTAGGAGAAACGTCTAGTTAAATAATTTATCCATTTTTAAATGGCTTCTTGTTGAAGTGTATTTCTATGTTTTCTGAATATTAAAAAATTTTATCAGATGCATGATTTTCAGGAATTTTCTCATCTGTCAGTTGTCTTTTTACTCTCTTGAGCAGTGGTTTTCAGCCTTCCTAATGCTACAACCCTTCAATACAGTTCTACATGCTGGAGTGACCCCCAACCATAAAATTATCTGTAATTTTGCTAGTTATGAATCATAACATAAATATCTGATATGCATGAAATCTGATATTTGACCCCTGTGGAAGGGGTTGCAACCCACAGGTTGAGAACCACTGCTCTAGAGAATGCACAAATGCTTTTTACTTTTTTTTTTTTTTAAGTTAGGGCTTCATTATGTAGACCAGGCTGACTTTAAACTTGTAGTCTTCCCACCTCAGCTTCTTGTACATTGAGATTACAGCAATGTGCCATCATTCTAGGTTCAATCTTTTAAAATCTTGTTGGTTTTTTTTTAATCTGTTTTGGTGTTTTGAGATAGGGTCTTGCTATGTATCCCAGGCTAGCCTGGAATTCATAATCTTGTCTCTACTTCCTAAGTGCTGGATTAGAGATATGAGTCACCATGCCCAACCCAAAGCTTTTACATACTGATGGTGATCAATTTATTTTTTGTTGCCTATGCTTTTACTATTATAATTAAGAAACCTCTGCCTAACCCAAAGTTTGAAAGGTTTTCACCTGTATTTTTTTGGGTTTATTACTTATTACTTTATCATTAGCTGATCCATTTGTCTCTATTATGTATAATTTGTTTATACTATTTTCTTTTTTCCTAAGCTGGCCTGGAACTGACTACGTAGCCTATTCTAGTCTCAAATTTGCAGTAGCCCCTCTTCTCCATCTCCCAAGTGCTAGGATTACGGGTGTGAACTACCATACTTGATTAAGTTTATATTGTTTTTAAAGCCTTCTGTTTCCTTATTGATCTGTCTGATTTCTGTTTGGTTCTGTGTTGAGAATTTCCCACTATATTGTCAGGTCTGGTCTTGAACTTGTCAAGGGATCCTCTTGGCTTAGGCCCCCTATAGGAATACACCATCATATTTGGCTTCTGTGTGGTTTTTATGTCTAGTAGCCTATTAAAGTCTCTAAATATTTTTTATTATTTTTCTTTTTTTTCGGTTTTTCGAGACAGGGTTTCTCTGTGTAGCCCTGGCTGTCCTGGAACTCACTCTGTAGACCAGGCTGGCCTCGAACTCAGAAATCCGCCTGCCTCTGCCTCCCAAGTGCTGGGATTAAAGGCGTGCGCCACCACCGCCCGGCTATTATTTTTCTCTTAATTCTATCCATTTTACTTTATGTACTTTTTGGCCCAAGTGAATATGTTAGTAACTGCTAAATCTTGAACTAGACCTTTTACCAAAATATAATATCCTCATCTGTCATAAATGTTTTATTCAAAGTATTTGGCCTCACCATAATAAAGCCATATTAGCTTTCTCTATACTTATTCTTTGTATGACATAGCTGAGGCAGGAAAGCATAGAAAACAGTTTAGTTTGGAACCCCACTTGGCTTCAATTATGGACATATATACATACATATCCTTCTTGCAACAATGCACTTGGCATCTCAGTTCCTTCATCTGCATGTGCTGTGCACACATACTCTTTTCCAAACAGTGCACCTAACAAACTCAGAAACCTCTCAACACCCTACCTACGTCAGTCCACATGTACTCCCATCTCTGAATGACAAGATGCTCTCTGCTCCTATAACAATCAAATGTAGACAGTGTGTTTCAAGTCTTCTCAGCTTATCTGAGTATGAGAGTAGAAGGGCTCAATTGGTTTGGGGTGCATGTGCAGTAAAATAAACCTATGTCTTCTAGTAATCTCTTATGGAAATCCTCCACGTGCCCTCTCACATCTTTGCATAATTGGGTGGGCCTATGATTAAAATCAAATGCAGAATGGGGAGGGCCATGTCAAGTAGAGAAAATGATTATATAACCTATCAAAAAAGAGAACCACCCAAGTGTACCTGTTAGTAACCAGCATCTCCTTCTCTTGAACCCATAAAGAATGCCTAAACAATAATCAGACCTCGTGTGTTTTCACTCATGTGGCCTTTGGCAATCATGACAGTGTCTCCCTGGAGGGGAGTTATCTTGCTGCTTCTATACTTCTATGTGATCCCTGACTTAACTGCTTTCCTTTTTCAGTATTTCAGATGGGTCCTTTCTCAACCACTAACCTTATTGAGGCTCCCTTACATGATGAGCTGTTTTTCTCTAAATTTACCCTGTTTTGAGTTCACTAAGTTCCTTGGATGTGTATGTTCATGCCCTTTCATCTAATTTGAAAAGTTTTCTGTCCTTATTCTTTCTGTCTCTTTCGCCTAGAATTCCTACAACACATATGTCCATGTTTATCTATGTCCTACAGACTCCTTTAGTTTCTATTTATTATCCTTTTTGTTTTCTGTGCCTCTGGGTAATTTCATCATCTCTTTAAATCCTTTGACCCCTTCCTTCATGCTCAAATCAGTTGCTTAGTCTCTCTAATGAACTTTTCGTCTCAGTGATTATACTGTTTTGCTCTGGAGTGTGGTTTGTTATTATAGTTTGTACCTCTTTAGCTAACATTGTCATTGTGATGATGCATTTTTCTCCCTGATTTCTCTTCATTCTTCCCATGGTTTCCTGTATTTCACTGAGCAAATTGAAGGCAGATCTAAGATCTTTAACCAGTAATTCCAATCATTGCCTAGACTTCTTCAAGGGAGGTTATGTGTCAAACTCTTTTTTTCTGTTAATGGACATACTTTAAGTTTCTTTTTTCTGTTTTGTAATTTTCTATTGAAAATTGAACCTTCTAAGTAGGGTATGTGGTAACTCAAAATTTAATTTTTAGCTTCCAGAATTGGTAATTTTTGCTCAGTGAGGGCTAGAGTCATCTGTTTTGAGATTTTTTCAAACTTCCTGTCAAGTGTGTACTCTTCATATGTGGAGTCATTGAAGTTTCTGCTGTGTTGTCTCTTTAAATGTTCTTTAAATGTCCAGACTGCTAAAAGGGGAAACGACTCTCTTTAAATACCTAGTGACTAAGAAGATGCTTTAGCCCATGGGTTGGGGACAATGACTGGCCTCTATAATGGCAAAACTGTAGCAAGTGCCACGTTTTAGAGAACAAAGTCATTACTGCCCACTGGCAACAATAAGCCACACCAGCCACCTGGGCCATATCTCATGGCTGCCTGCTGTGTAGAAAGAGGACTGCTGCACAGAAAACAGAACATTACCAAACTAGGCAAGCCTCTCTACACTCACCTCTGGATGTTGTGAATGTTCAGCTGGCTGCTTTACTAGTTTTTTGGTTTGGTTGGTTTTGGTTCTGTGGCAAGGGGATGAGCTATGTCCTGCTTGCTCTGCCATCTTTATACCATCACCCTCTAATCATTCTCATCTCTCTTGGGCTTGACACCCTGACCTGCTGGTCATCACATAATCACTGAAGTGGGGACAGTATAATGGACACTTAGACTGATATATGCAAAGTCGTTCAGGTAAAGGGGAGAAACAGTCTATTCTGTACTGGAAAAGGGTCAAACCAAACATTAAAAAGCTGTTTCTTACACCATCATTACTCCAGGATGTCACAAGTCACCCCAAGTAGCACTCTGAGCACTGAGGAAATGGCTCAGCTGGTAAAGAACCTGCCATGCCAGCATAAGGACCTGAGTTCAGATCCTCAGAAACCATGTAAAAAGCCAGGCATTGTGGCATGTTCCCATAATCTCAACCCTAAGACAGTTTTAGGGGAAATATCATGCATGTCTGGATAATGCTGCTCCTGAAAGCCATGGTTATTAAACAAAACCCCAAGGCCAAAAGTGAAATAATGCCTTATGAGTTGTTGGTCATAGAGCCAGAGGTATGCACAAATAATACAAGTCACTGTGATTCCTCTTGGTTGCCCATCAGAAGTGATTGATAAGACCCTATTACTGAAGAAACTGTAACCTCAGTTGCAAGGTATAGAGTTCAAATTGGAACTGAGCTGGAAACTTTGTCCACACTAGCCAGCTTCCATAGTGCTGGAAGATGCTATATATACTGTTGAAGGAGAAAAGGCACTAACAGTCTTTTTTTTTTTTTTTTAGTATAGAATAGAGTTTATTCAGGGCGTGGAGAGGGGAGTCAGGAGGGTAGTAGAAGCAGAGAGAGGAAAGAGAAAGAGAGAGAGAGAGTGAAGAGAGAAGCAGAGGAGTAAAGGCTGGCCATGAGCACATGGAGAGAGGGGGAAGAGAAGGGGAAGGGGTGAGTGGACATGGGGACCAAGACAGCAAGAGAGCAAGAGAGGCACTAACAGTCTTAAATGGCTGTGAATTCCACAAACTACAATACCAATCTGTAAGGCAAGATGTGTTCACTAGTGCAATAGTGACAGAACTGTTCTATGTGTAAACAACTGCTTTCTCACAGAAAAGAGAACTCATTTGGTAAAAACTCATGGCTAAGGAAATCTTAGGCCCTAGGGGAAAACTTATTAGTATTTTTTTTAGCTAGGCTGTCACGGCACTGAGATGCCTAATAAAATGGCTGCTCAGGGTGCTAAGAATAAGTGATAGTTGACTAGTCTAAAGCTCAGGGATCATTATTTAAGTGAGGGTAGAAAGTACAGATGAGCCAGAGCACAAGGGCTGTGAAATGCTGTCTTTTGAGCCCGGCATGGTCAGTGCAGCAATGATCTCACAGCAGCTATCTTCAATTGGTCTATATAAGACTGGGCCTAGGAGGCTGGAGAGATGGCTCAGCAGTTAACACACAATACTCTTGCAGAGGACCCAAGTTCAATTCTCAGCACCCGTATGGTAGCACACAACCTGTAACTCTGTAACTTGTGACATCTGTTGCTCTAGTTCCAGGGGATCCAATGCCCTCTTCTGTCAGCTAAGAACAAAAGAACAAAAGACTCAAAGAACAAAAGAACAGTACAGGAGAGACATCCAATGTGGACCTCTGGCTTCCATACTTAGATGCACATGCGCACAGATATATACAGAGAAAGAAAGAAATTGGGAGGAGGAAAAAAGAGAGGGAAGGAGAAGGAAAGATGAATAAGGAAAAAAAGCTACTGTAAGATGTTGAAGCCATTCTTCCAATAGTGAATATGTGACTAGAACTGGAGAGATTAGTGGCACTGTGCATTCACATACCTAATGTGACCAGAGACTTGGGTTCCACCAGGTGTTTGCTCCCTGTTTGCTTTGCAAAGCTGAGTTTTACCTTAGTGGCGGGCATGAAACATTAAGTTTTCTGGACTGGGGGATGGTTCAGTTAGTAAAGCACTTGCCTTGTAAGCATAAGGGCTTAAGTCTGCTCCCTAGAATTCATGTGCAGAAGCCAGGTATGATGACACAAACTTATGATTCCAATGCTTAGGAGGTGGACACAGGTGGATCCCTGTGCTTGATGGCCCACTAGCCTAATGGCCAAGCCCCAATCCCAACAGTGACCTTGTTAAGAAGGTAAACTGTATGGTACTTGAGGAAAGATTCCTGGGGTTGACCTCTTGCCTTCCACAGGCACACACATACCTGCATATATACACAGTCAGAGATGAAGGAGACGGGAGAGGAGAGAGGGGAGAGGGGAGAAGAAGTAAGAGGGGAGAAGAGGGGAGAGGGGAGAGGGAGAAGAGGGAGAGGGAGAGGGAGAGGGAGAAGAGGGAGAGGGAGAGGGCAGGACACATCCACCCACCTGTTTATGCTCAACTGGTGGCAACCCTCCCCACAACCATCATACTTGGAAATCATCTTTTCCTTAAATAAGTGAAGCAACAGCATAGTATTTCAAAACAGGTGTTGAAAGAAATCAAGAATATTCAGTAAAAGAATAGCATTTTGTGGATTTTTTAAAGAGGTCTTAAGTAGAAAATAGGTAGGGACAGAGAACTAGGACAATGTCCATGCATTGTATGCAACAATGCAACACTGTCCAGAAAATACCATGGGATCTCAGGATTAGAGTGCTGTACTTGGTTCAAGCCCCATACAGAAGCAGCAGTCTCCAGGGACCACCTGCACAGCCATCCAATCCCACAGACATTTCTAATTGCCTCTGCCCTCTTGTGACCCAACTGGTCATGCTATCATTGTAGAGACCCTGTCCTTTGGCTTCTGTAACACTCTTCTCTCCAGACTCTTGTTTATAGCTGTGCTGTGATAGGGCATTTCACCAGGAGCCAAATACAGAGAGACAGGGAAGGGTCTGGAACCAATGGACCAAAATTATAGAAAATCAAAATCTATTGATATGACATGTTCACAGCTTCACAATCATGCCTTAAAATAATCAAATGTTACTTCTCAATACCAAAATACCATCATCCGGAGAAACTAAAAAGCAAAACTTAAGCATTGGATTTCATATTCCTTACAACAAGGTGACTTTCCATTATAATAAACATCTCTTCTATATCAGGAAAAACAATACAAACCTAAGACAAGATTTTCATTAGGAAAAAAAAAATAGGGCTTGGAGAGACTATGTATCAGTTCAAAGCACTTGTCACTATTTACAAAAGACCCAGGCTTGATCCCCAGAACCTACATGGCAAGTCAAAAACCAGCTGTGACTCCAGTTCCAGGGGATCTGATGCCCTCTTCTGACCGTTGTGAACACCAGACACATACACAAATGAGACCATCGAAAGATTCTCTTTTGCTTGCCAATCTGAGTTAAATTTCCTCTGAAGTCCTAACCCTGTCTCCATATAGATGGTACCTCTGTGACTCTGATGACGTCTTAAATCAATGCTAAAAAATGGCTAGAAACACAGGAGTCCCTTTAAGTTCACTATGTTCTCTCCCTTGCATGAATTTAAAATAAAAACACCACCATAAATAAAAAACAGAAGAACTAAAACCAAAAGTCCAGTTCTGAGCTTTTACTTCTATGGCTTCTATTGCCAGTTGTCCCTGTCTTCACTCCTCTGCAGTTGGTCTGATTGCCAGGTAGCCTTAGAGGTAGCAGTATGTGCCACCTGTACCTACTCTGTGACTGTACCCTCCCTCAGATTCAGAGAAAGGCCATATATAGATCCCATTAGCCCCTTACCAAGTTGATGTCCAGACTGGGAACTTGAAGTGTCAAAGGGCTCTGAGCTGGCCTCAGGAGCACTTGGCTCCCAGGATTCACGGTTCTCAGATAGCTCTGAATAGGCATCACCCAGCACCTTGTGAACTGCCACAGGCTCTCCATTTCCAGGGCCCTGATCCTCACTACTTGTGTCTGCCACAGCCCGAGTCTCTTCACCCATTTTCTCAGCAAACCACTGCTTGACCTGCTGGGCACTCATCTGGGTCTTGTCGCAGAGGGTCTGCAGGTCCTCCTCGCACAACATCTTGTGTGTCATGTAATAATCTTGCAGCAGTTCTCGGTTGCCAGGGGCTATGACCAGCAAACCTGGAGGGAAGTTGCCCCTCTTATAGTCTTCGTACCACTTAAGCTGGCCATTCTTAAGGGCATACCTGCTATCTCCAAACCAGCGTACCACCTCTGGCCGGGGCAGCCCTGTTTGGGCCATGATGGAGTCGTAGTCCTGGTTGCTTGGCCACTGTGTTTGGACAAAGAGCTGCCGAAGCAAGTGACGCTGCTGTGCGGTCTTTTTGTAGCTTACTTTGCTTGGCGGCTGTTCTACCAACTTGTTCAAACCGTCTTCCTCAGGCTCACAGACACTCATCCCCGGAAGCTCACTCTTGCCACTGGCTTCAGTGACCCGCAGGTTCTTGAGGTTGATTTTGATGGGGCTGACCTTCCGCTCTGCCAAGGTATGGCTAAAAAATATTTCAGAAGAGCCATTTTCACCAGGAACTCTCAGCTCACTGGCCAACTCTTCATCTCTACCCTCCTCCTCAGCACCCTCTTCTTCCTCCTTAGGCACATGCCCATCAGCCTTCTTTGTCTCCTCGGCATTCACCTTTTTCCGTCTCTCTGAGAACCAGCCATCAATTTCCCTTCGGGTCATTTTCGTTTCATTTCTTAGGCGGTCCAGCTCCTCCTCAGGAGGAAGTGGGTTTTGTGCAAAGCTGCTCTCTAGAACTCGCAGCTGCTCTGGGGCTCTCTCTTTGTATTTGGTTGGCGTGAAGTCTGGGGTCTGGTGCCAAGATTGTCGTTTGGTGGCAGGGTGACTTACTAGTGAGGTTGCTGTTGGGATACAGGTCACTTCTGGAACTTTCGATGACAGGGGAAAGGGCACCTCTGGCACAGAGTCAATGAGAACAGAGCCATGCTCTCCGGGCATCATGGTCCTGGAGCCCTTCAGGTTCCGGCAGTGATATCTCCGGTCACTGAACCACTTCCGCACCTCTCTGGTACTGAGGCCTGTCACTTTGGTCAGATGCTCTACTTCACTCTGCCCAGGAAATTGGTTCCGACAGAAGCTTCCTTTCAGAGCCGACAGCTGTTCATGGGACTTCTTATTTTTGTAGATGTTTGCATCAAGGAAAGCTTGAGAAGTTATGCTGGGGCATGCTGTGAGGAGTGACTGGGCTGCATTGACAACCTTCACAGCTGATGCTGTATTTGAACACACAGTGTTAATGGGTGCCACAGATGGCTTGGGAACAGATGCAGTTGTCAGGGGGAGGGACGAGCTTGATGCTTGTAACCCATTGGCCATCAATGGTTGAGTGACCAACAGGCCCCCTGCTGTGCCCTCAGGCTGCCCCACAGCATGGCCTGGGAGAGCAGCCTGGATGAGGTGCTGTACATTGCCAGCACTGGCAACAAGGGGGGTGTTTAGAACTGTGATTGTGGGCTGAGGCACAGACTGGATGACTGTATTGAACATCTTTTTCCTGGCATCTTCAATCTCCTCAGGAGACCAGCTGATTCCCTGCTTCAGCCTTTGGGCTGTGAACCAGATCTTAAGCTGTTCTTCAGGATACTTGGTCACCACAGTCAGATAGCAGAGCTCAGCTTTGGTTGGGTAGGGGAATTTGTGGAAGGAGTTCTTCAGAAAGCTGTTGGAGTCCATAGCTGCATTGTATGTTGGGATGCTGCTGAGGGGGATCATGACTTTTGGAAGGGCCTTGGATGTAGGCAGGGGTTGGTGGGTATGGTGCTGGGCGTGTACTGGGGGCTGCTGCTGGAGGGAGAGGAACTGTGCTATACCAGCTGGCAATACAGGCACAGTTCCTATCAGGGGCCCATTGGCAGGATGAGGGGGTTTTGTGGAATTAGCAGATGCCTGACTGACTGGAGCTGCCCCATTAATGAAAGTATGGTCCCCCTCTTTAACCTCTACCTCCCCCGCCAATGGCTTAGGCAAGGTCTCACTCCCAGGCTGATTAGGAGCATTCTCTTTAAGCATATGGATTTTTTTGGCTTCAGCTTTGCCTTTCATTATCTTCATGATTGGAGTCTTGGTAATGATGATTTCAGTCCCTTCAGTAGTAGACTCACCTGCGAGGACAGATGAGCTAGCATTCTCAGGGACACTCTGCTCCACTACTACATGATTGTCTGGCTTAGTCACATTCCACAAAAAGCTGGCTTCCCCTGAGTGACACTTGGCATTATGCAGGGAAAGCCCTTCAGGGGTTTTTGCCAGGAAACTGCACCTTGTACATACAAAATTTGGGTCTTTATTAAAGTCCGTGTGCTCTGAGTTCATATGTCCTACAAAGTGGGTCACATCCTGGGACCTGAAATCACACTCCTTACAGGAATATACATAGCCATCCAAAGTGCTCCGGTGCCCATTTGCCAGGGCAGAGCCATCAGTGCTGCTGGGGGCAGGGGCTGCCTCACTGCTGGCATCAGGTGCCTCTGAGGGAAGATCCTGCTGGGGACCTTCAGGCAGAGGTTCCACAGGCTGAGCCTCTGTGCTGGCACCTGGCAGCACCACGGTCTTAACTGGGATCATGCATGGGGTAGTGGATTTCCTCTTGCTGGCCATGGTGACAATCACTTCGGGTTACCAGCAGACAAGAAAGCCTTGTAATACAAACTCCAGCTATTCCATGAGGGTCTGGGAAGTGCTTCCAAGGGCAGTTTTGTCAGTTATTTGCAGAAAGTCACTTTTCCTTATTAAGCCTGGGGAGAAAGAGAAAAAAAAATATGATGAAGATCTTGCAGTCTCTGAATCTGTTTTTCAGGTCCCTAATCATATACTCACTGCTTACTTTCTATCTTGTGAGTCTTTTCACAAGAAGCTGGTGTGCTTTTTTGCTATGAATTGTAAGGCAGGAGCTCCTTGGTAGTTGTCCTGAGAATGATCTTGGATGCTCTGTACCATTTGATACATTTAAATTATACAGTTTTTCTTTGTTTATCTCCATATATCTTCACATTAAGTAACTCAGCTTATAGTAAAGAAGAGGGAGGGAAGGAAAATCATCCTTTTTGAGCCTAAAAATTAATTCTGACCAGTTTAGACTTAGAACAAAAGACCCAGTGTAATTCCTGTTTAAACATTTGGACCAACAAGGGTGTTTCTTTTCATAGTCTTCCCACATACAAGAACATGACAACGCCTCTGTCTCCTTCAAACCAGGCCCAGAGACCAAGTCATTTTTAGTGTGGATGCAGGCAGGGTGTGTAACAGCCAAGCCTGTCTTTCCTACTTGTTATCCTACTGCCTGTATTCCCAACAGTGAGTAAGCTGTACTTCCTCTACGTGCCTAGGACACTGTCACTTAGGTAAGCCAAGGATCAGAGAGTACCCACACCCTAGTTTAGATGCAGCACTCAAGTGTGAGGCCTCGTCCTGGACTCACAGAACTGCCTGCACACTTGTTTTGTGCTTGTTTGGTATCTGTCATTTTTATTTCTGTTAATGTCTTTTTTGTTCTTAAAAACACTTTTAAAACTTTGATCTGTTTGAAAGCAAGCCGAGAGATTTACTTATATGTAAAATAACTGTGATAGCTATTCCATAAGACACCATAAGGGATTTTTGCCCTGTGACCCCTGCCTGTTCATTAACAGAGTCTGCCATCAAGGCCTCTTCTTGAGCCTCACTCCTGACTATGGTGTGCACTCTCTCTCTCTCTCTCTCTCTCTCTCTCTCTCTCTCTCTCTCTCTCTCTCTCTCTTTTTTTGTTTGTTTGTTTTTCGAGACAGGGTTTCTCTATGTAGCCCTGGCTGTCCTGGAACTCACTCTGTAGACCAGGCTGGCCTCGAACTCAGAAATCCACCTGCCTCTGTCTCCCAAGTGCTGGGATTAAAGGCGTGCACCACCACCGCCCGGCTGGTATGCATTCTCTTATTCCCAAGTGCTTTCTCTTGAGTAAAGGACTGCTTATATCTATATTATATATTTTTTCTAAAACTCTAGCTTTTTGAATAAATATACACATCATCATCATTAAATTTCTTTTTAATAAATATTCAAGCTATAATGAATAAGAATATAGTGATTCTAATATCAAAATAAAATTAGTATCTGTTTGGATTTGATAAAAAAATATAAAGAAAATTTAAATATCTTGATTCAAATTCTTAGAAAATAAACAAGGTAAGTTTTTGTTTTCTTTTTGGCTTCTAAATCTAGCCTGATGATCATAATAAAATAAACTGTTACTAAGAAGGCTGTTATATGATAAACATACATCCAGATCTAACCACCAGTCACTGCTTCTACTACCATCCACTAGTGTCAGGGACAAACTTACTGAATTTAATTATAAAGACATTAATAGTAAAGTGAAGTTAAAAAAAAAAACTATCGATTGCAGTACATTGAGCTCCATAGAGACAGCGCCGGGGCAAGCGAGAGCCGGACGGGCACTGGGCGACTCTGTGCCTCGCGGAGGAAAATCAACTAAACATGGGCAAAGGAGATCCTAAGAAGCCGAGAGGCAAAATGTCCTCATATGCATTCTTTGTGCAAACCTGCCGGGAGGAGCACAAGAAGAAGCACCCAGATGCTTCTGTCAACTTCTCAGAGTTCTCCAAGAAGTGCTCAGAGAGGTGGAAGACTATGTCTGCTAAAGAAAAGGGGAAATTTGAAGATATGGCAAAGGCTGACAAGGCTCGTTATGAAAGAGAAATGAAAACCTACATCCCTCCCAAAGGGGAGACCAAAAAGAAGTTCAAGGACCCCAATGCACCCAAGAGGCCTCCTTCGACCTTCTTCTTGTTCTGTTCTGAGTACCGCCCAAAAATCAAAGGCGAACATCCTGGCTTATCCATTGGTGATGTTGCAAAGAAGCTCGGAGAGATGTGGAACAACACTGCAGCGGATGACAAGCAGCCCTACGAGAAGAAGGCTGCCAAGCTGAAGGAGAAGTATGAGAAGGATATTGCTGCCTACAGAGCTAAAGGAAAACCTGATGCAGCAAAAAAGGGGGTAATCAAGGCTGAAAAGAGCAAGAAAAAGAAGGAAGAGGAAGATGATGAGGAAGATGAAGAAGATGAGGAAGAGGAGGAAGAAGAGGAAGACGAAGATGAAGAAGAAGATGATGATGATGAATAAGTTGGTTCTAGCGCAGTTTTTTTCTTGTCTATAAAGCATTTAACCCCCCTGTACACAACTCACTCCTTTTAAAGAAAAAAACTGAAATGTAAGGCTGTGTAAGATTTGTTTTTAAACTGTACAGTGTCTTTTTTTGTATAGTTAACACACTACCGAATGTGTCTTTAGATAGCCCTGTCCTGGTGGTATTTTCAATAGCCACTAACCTTGCCTGGTACAGTCTGGGGGTTGTAAATTGGCATGGAAATTTAAAGCAGGTTCTTGTTGGTGCACAGCACAAATTAGTTATATATGGGGACAGTAGTTTGGTTTTTGTTTTTCTTTTCTTTTGGTTTTATTTTTGTTTTTTTTTTTCCATCTTCAGTTGTCTCTGATGCAGCTTATACGAAGATAATTGTTGTTCTGTTAACTGAATACCACTCTGTAATTGCAAAAAAAAAAATTGCGGCTGTTTTGTTGACATTCTGAATGCTTCTAAGTAAATACAATTTTTTTTATTAAAAAAAAAACTATCTAATAATAATAGGCAGTTTTCAGTGTCTAAATATACATTTTCAAGCAAAATGAGCATTTGTATATCCATATATATTTCTGTTTCCTCATATTATTGAACATATATTCATTGCATGGCTTTCATAATTAAAATGTCTACTGTCTAATCATGTCCTACAGTGGATTTAACACTATGGAATCCTGTTTAATGTCACAAAGGCTTCACCTGCCCAATTTAATGGTCACAGGAACACAGGAACAGCTCTTCCCATACTTTTTTCTATAGGTTATTTCCCAAGGTAAGTATACAGAAATAGGTCTATTAGCCTAAAGTACATAGTTTCTAAGTACCTTTAAATATAATTAGAAAATTCTTTGAAATAAGTGCTTTATAATGCCCAACATAAGAATGGCACAGTTCCAATCCTCTAGTGAACATATCAGTTATTGGAAAAATCATGAAAGATCTCAGAATAAAAGTCCAAGAAGAAAACAACAGATCAACTGAGCTTCACAAAAAGTAAAGCTGGACTTCAAAATTCACTTTCAAAATGACAAAATGAGGCTGGAGTTAACGATAGTGTTAGAAAGCTTTCTTGATATGCACGAGGAGCTGATCTTGAGCTACAGCACAAAAATGGGCTTTAAAAATCATCTATCTGATAAGTTGTACCTGGAATATATATGAAGATATTTTACAACTTAAGAAGAACACAATCTACTTGCCGGGCGGTGGTGACGCATGCCTTTAATCCCAGCACTTGGGAGGCAGAGGCAGGTGGATTTCTGAGTTCGAGGCCAGCCTGGTCTACAGAGTAAGTTCCAGGATAGCCAGGGCTACACAGAGAAACTCTGTCTTGAAAAACCAAAAAAACAAACAAACAAAAAACAAAAACAGAAAAAAAAAACAAAAAAAGACATACAAATGGATAATAAGTAATAAGTACATTTTAAAGTGTTTAACTTTGCCAGACATGGTAGCACACACCTTTAATCCCAGCATCTGAGAAGTAGAGGCTGGCAGATCTCTGTGAGTTCAAGGCCTGCCTAGTCTACATAGTGGGTTCCAGGACAGCCAGAACTACACAGTGAGACCCCGCCTCAAAAAACAAAAATTAAAAATAAATAATAAAACAAAAAGCACCAACATCATTGGTAGCTAAGGAAACAAATCAAAAATACAATGAGATTCCTCTGTACCCCATCAGGAAAGATGCAGTCACATGGCAGAGAACAAATTCTGACAAGACTGTGGCAAAGTTGAAGCTTTTACTGTTTCTGGTATGTGAAATGGTGCAACTACTTTGAACAAAAGATTTTGGCAGTGGCTCAAGAAGCTACTACATACATAGTTACCAAATATACCCAGTAATTCTACTCCTGGACAGATGCAAAACAGAATGAAAATGTGTGTGTGTGTGTGTGTGTGTGTGTGTGTGTGTGTAAGGGGGAGGCAGAAAGTCACAGCCTTTAGTTCTATAGAAAAGGGTCATCACTCACATGTTTAAGTTTATAATTTAGGTAAGAGTTTTGTGACACAGTCTGGCATTTATGTCTACCTGGAATAAGGGTGAATGGTAGTGTCTATAAGCATCATGCTTGGAAGGAGAGAGAAAAGAAAGATGGAAAGCCACCAACTGGAAGACACACTACCAGCTAGAAGAGAGCTATGGCTCACCACAAGCCCAGACCACCAGTGAAACTCAGTAGCAGATAATGCAGGACCCTTGCTTCTATGGCACAAATGCAAAAGCACAGGGCCAGTGCTGGTATTTGTGATAAGGACTGGGTTTCACTGAGCAATAGAGAAATAATGTCTTCAGTATTTTATTTACAAAACCTGAGAAGTGGCCCAAGTAGGGGAAGGTACATGTGTGCATATGGGTGCATGGGTGGGTATGTGCATGTGTGTGTGTGTGTGTGTGTGTGTGTGTGTGTGTGTGTAGGCCTAACATTGACATTGGGCATCTTCTTTGACTGCTTTCTACATTATATTCTGAGGCAGAGTCGATTGCTGAACCTGGAAATGGTTTTGGTTAAGTCTGGCTAGGCAGTTTGTTATAGGGATACTGACTCTGCCTTCTGTATGATGATATTACAGGCAGCAGCCACACCCACCCACCTT